AGCGTGTGCGCGCGCTGACTGATTTCGCGCAGACCCTTAATGCGCGCGACACAATGAGCAGCCCCGCTTTTTACTGGACTTTGCCTTTGAAGTCGGGGAGAGAGACAGAGAAACAAGCCACTCGTTTCCAAGCCGTTGGATACAAGTGAGAGCATCTCTCTGTCTATTTGTATGTGTGTGTGTGTGTATGCGTGCATGTGTGTGTGTGCCAATTCCCTCTGGAGTTCTCGAGGGCGCTTCGGGTTTCATTAACGGACTCTTTTGTACTTGGCTGATTTAATTTGAGCGATTGCCGATTTATTTATTTCCCAGAGCAGAGCGTAGCACGACACGATATTGCGCCAGTATAGCCGGACAATCGTAAGCTGAAGTGGCCACTCGGGCGCACTCTTCTAAAATGCACGCGCCTAGGCCCTTTTTTGCCCCGTGACGGATTCACTATCTCGTGTCGAGTGATTGAATTATCTGCTCAGTCGTACGATTCTTTAGTGATGGATCTATTCTATAACACCATCTTCGTTAATTATGATTTGCGAGGGGAAAACTTGTGCGTATGTACTCTTTTTTACTTTTTAGTCGAAAAATATTACTCTGATACTAAATCGTATTCAAGAGATACAAAGAAATCTTTGTAGTTCAGTGGTCATATGATGTTTACTTGATAACAGAGGTGAGTGGCGCCCTACTCGAAAGGTAAATAACACGCGGCCGTACACTCGAAAATCATTTCGGGTGACTTTCACGCAATTGGTCAACGGTCGAAGAGAGACGATCGCCCGGCTCTTTGATTTCAAATCAAGCGTAGCTAATATCAACGCGCGAATCGCTGATTACATTGACTTTACTTGTTCGACGTAGAGAGCTGCCAGCGCAAAACGACTCGTAACGCTCTGCCGCCTTGGGTGTGAATATTGACCATGTTTCGGTGTTTTATATTAATTTAATTGACTGGAAATCAATATTGAAGGTATGCAAATACCTATATATAATGAATTAATTAGCACATAAATCTAATCGTTCTATTTTTGTACATATTGCACATTATATACTTAATCGAAAAAAAGAATAGAATATAATTTTAATTAATGTATCAAATTCACATGTAAAATTACGTACTAAACTGTGCTAAATTACTCTAAATTTACAACCCTGATTTATTTAATTTACTATTAAATGAATAAGCACATATGTTTCCGTTATAAGAGGTACATTATAAAATAATTTATCTTACAATTTTACACAGCGGTATTGTAAACCACGACTATAAAGACATAAGTAGGATATTACTGAGCAAGAAAACTAACTCGAGAGCCGTAAGAATTTGAAACTTGCAACAACTGTTCCGCAAACTTGTTAATGCGGACTCATTGTTATTGAAATATCATCACTATAGTTTTGACAACTTGGTATAACAATGCCTAATACATTCGTGCGTTGCCTCATTTCCCATGGAATATAGCAACAAAAGGGTGATAACTGCCTAGATCTCAAGGAAGTTAATAAAGAGAGACGCTTTCCGTTTTAACGCCGGACATTTTTCTCTCTCGCTTTTTGCGGCGAAGAAATATTTTCTGTCTCGCGCTTCGCTGCCGTCTTGTTATCCGGCCATAAAGAGGAGACCAAAGAAAAAAAGGAAAGGGAAAGAGAGAGAGAGAGAGAGAGCAAGTGGATTGTCGTCGGCGTATGTCTTGCGTGAAAAGTTCGGTACTCAAATCAAGTGCAGCGTGAACCACCACTTGCTGGACAATGGGTCGCTTTATCAAATAGAAGAACTCTTGCCTCAATAGCAAGCTTGACAATGGAACGATTCTTTTTTTTCCCTTTCCTTCTGTTTTTCTACCATGCTCTCTCTCCTCTCTCTCTCTCTCTCTCTCTCTCTCTCTCTCTCTTGCGATTTGAAGCTTCTCTTTCATGTTTTAATGATGATTGGATTCTCAACTGGAAATATTACGTCGGATAATCCTTTGATATCTACAAAGTCAGAACTCTTTTAACGACCGTGAGGTGAAATAAGAAACAACATCTGGTGGATTCGTATATTTCTTTTTCAGCTCTCACGTTTTGCAGTCTTCAAATATTCTTCTGCAAAGACTTAAAAAAAGCTTTACGAGAAAAATTGCATATTTCATATCCATATTGTATATTACGTCAAGACAGGTGACAGTCGGGTTATAGTTATTATCGATAGGTTCATATCGTCAATGTCGAAATAAAAGCGTTCTGTTTTTAAAGCTAGCAATAGAACTTTGGAATGTTTTGAGAAAAGAACGTGCGGATGGACGTATACATATATGTATAGTTGGTAGAAAAGCTAGAAGGCAAGGGGCGCAGGTCGTAGAACAAAGTCCCGGGCAAAACCAAAGTACATCCACTTAAGCCCTGCCCACGGAATGTCTAGCAGTTGCTCCGAGCTTTCGCGCGTTATTCATTACTGTAGACGGCAGTGGTGGCTGCAAGCTTTCTCTCACTGCTAACCTCTTTCTCGCTTCTGTTGGTATGGCGCTAGGCGTGTGCCATTAGCTCTTCTTCCCTTCTAATATCATGAAATGCCAGACTAATTCAGCCGGCAAGCTAACAACCTCGACGACCTATTGTTTGCCTTCGCACGAGTAGTACGCGCTGATATCTCTTCCATGATTTTCATTGTTTAGCTCTCGCGCGTAGTCGTCGTCGTCGACGTCGCGAAACCTTCGCGTGAACTAAATTAGACAAGAGTTAACTAGCAGCAGCTCTCAGTCTGTTTTCGCCTTGCAGCCTGTTATCTTTGAGCGACTGATGAGAAACTCGCTCGAATACACGCATTCTCTCCGAATCTCAGTATCAAAACACTCGAAAGTCATATTAATACGTGGATGAGAGTTTGCGCTATCAAAAGGGACGTGAAGCTCGAAGCAAAATACGACTTTATTACCATTCGTTCGTACGCCCGCGAGAAACGGATATACATACACACGCAGCAACTGACATCAAAACTAGAGCGCGCAAGTTAAGCTCGAGCAGACTTTGTTATGGACAGCCGTTGCGTGGAAGAGCAATTGTATAGCAGGAGAATGCGATTTGCGAAAATTTCAAACATTCATCGCTACTCGCTGTAGGCCATAGTGGATCCGCAAGTTTCTTTATCACCAACACCCACGTAATCGTAATCTACTTCGGCGTGCATTCGAGCATTAATACACCGAGAGAGAGAGAGAGAAAGAGAGAGAGAGAGAGAGCGTGGAAGTCGGTACTTCCACAACTGACTCGGTTCTTGGAGAAGTGCCGCTTTGCTAAGGCCACTTGCTAAGTTTGTCGATAGTTTGGTAGCTCTGTCTCCCTCTCTCTCTCTCTCTCTCTCACTCACTCTGGTTCGGGTCAACATCGTCTGACTATACAATACTAATTGATACCTTACAAAAAAAATTTATACTCGAAAAAGCAACTCGTTGTCTGTTTGATCGTCTAATTGCGAGATACGCTCTGCTATACACTAGCGATTACCAGCGTATGCGCATGTACATAAGTGTATATACACAGATGTAGGTGAGTATGTGTACGTGAGGTCGTGGTGCTCGAAACTCGCCGATTCAATTAACGAGGAGCATTAACTCGAAAGTCTATCCCCCTAACTTATTGTGAGCCGAATAAATAAGGCACTAATGGGTGAAGCGCTGGTGTCTCGAGTGCGAGATAGCGAACATCGAGTGATTAAAAAAGAAAAACAAAAAATTGTTTGCCAATGCACTGAGTTAATTATATTCTGGAAAGCTTTTAGTGCTCTAAAGTCAAACATTAATTATGCTTTTGCGGCTGCCATTTGACGAATAAGTTTCAAATCGATGAAACTATATGCAGCGAGTAAATGGTATACTTTTGTCTTTTATAACTAAAGTTATTTTTTGCTGCCTGAAACTGGTGCCTGCACTGAAATCATCGACAATTTTGGACCGCAGAGCTTGCAAGTTAAATATATTTTAAGCTATAAGAAATTAATGTCCGTAATGTGGTATTCTTTGTCTAAAGTTTAATTATTGAAGAGATTGAAAAAACATCGATGATGTCAGCTTGATTACTCGTGATCAGGCAAGCATATGTAGAAATAGAGAGTCTTAAGATATCGAGAGGGTACAAACTCATCTAGACGTACATCCGGATGCAAAGGAATTACAATTCACGAGATGATTCCAAGCTTTGATCCCATTCATCGAACGGACATCCCATTACAGCTTACGTCTGTTAGCGATTCAATCCCGCGAGATTATGCGCGCCGTCGACGTATAACGCAACTGCTCTCGACTTGCCTTTAAGGAAACTTCATCTCCCTCGTGAGATCGTTTTCTCCCGTTTGCTTTCTCGCTCTCACGTTCTCTCGCATGCGCGCATGAGAGGAAATCCGTAAAGAGGCGAAGGTCAGCTTTGACGTTTGTGCTATTGCACTCTATCCACCGAGATTTTCATGCATGCAACGCACGGGAGATTGAGTCTTTCAGCTTCATTTTTATAGGGTCGAGCGAGCGAATAGTTTGCTTTTCTGGGTGTGTCGAATGTACAGGTGATTTTCAACTCTGAGATCAGTTCGCAAAATCTCGATTAAATTTGATGGGAAAATGTCTTTCGCGTAAAAAGCCTTTTTGGGCCTGCGAAAAGGAACTTCAATTGGATTTCGATATTTGATAAAAATAGCGTGGCTGACCCGTAAAATTTCGATACAACGAGAAACGGCAGCTTATCCTGAAGTTAATTGTGTCGGAGTCAACTTTCTCGGAAATAATATCCAAGAACGAAAACTAATAACCAAAGTTTCACTTTGAGCTCGATATCTTATTCAGTATAATGAAAGCAGCGGCAGCGTACAGCCATTGGGAATAGAGTAGCTCGACAAGCGCGAGCTTCGCGCTCGCTGCCAAATGATTATTCAAAGAGCTGATGAAACTTAGACGAGAGCTCAGAGAGCAAGAGGGACAATGTCGTCGACCTGTAGCTTCAACACGCAAATACTATGTATATATAGATGAACTTACCGACGACATCGAGGTAACCGATTTGGCTCTTCATCGGGTCGGTGTTGATCTGACACATGTACCAGCCACGATCGGTCTCCTTCACCTCCTTTATGTGCAGGAACCAGGTGCGGTGCTCGCTATGGCTCACGCCTATCCGGTGGTTTTTCGTTATCACGTGACTCGCTATCGTCAGTATCGTTTGCGTGTCGACGCGCAGCCAGGCGACCTGCAACCACACACGCGTACCATTGATTACTCGAGAACTTATTTTTATTCTCTTCTTTAGTTCAGGCGTTATTTCATCTTTTATCGTCGACAGTCTTACGTTATTTATCAGCTGGCGACAATTCCGTTCATTTTAATTTCCTGAAGTTACGAAAAATTTATTATACAGCCAGGGATTTGTATACGAAATCGGTACGTCTATTGCCACATTCAGATATTATAATTGAATTTGCACGGAATTCATAATGAAGATGAAATTATCATGTTTTAAAAGTCTGCGAATAATGTGAGTTTTGAGAAAAAAAAAAGCAATTTTCTCGCTGCAACTAGAGAAAATCAGTCTCAAAAAGGGCTGTTTTGTTTAATTTAATGAATAAAGTTGAGAAATAATTAGTATCATTACATTCTAACGCGGATGAGTTTCTTGAATAAGAAGGCAGAACGAGTTCTACACAGCCTTCGTACAGCTGCCAATGAATGGGAGTTGCAAAGCGCAATAGAGAGCTTTCTTTTTCGTTCTCGTGTAGCACAAAGAGTCGTTTATACGAGAGTACAAACGAGACAAGTTTTGCATGCTATATGTACTTCCTTAAGCCGCCAATCTGGAGCTTGCGGTTATTTCATGAAAAACGAGTCACGGCGAGGAAGCAGATATTTTTATTTAATTATTGAAGTTTTATCGAAACAACGGTAATTTTGTTTCAATCTGACTTTAAATTAGAAGATATATTCGTACGCCATATTTATAAACGGAATCAACTTGAACGTACCATCTCGGAAACAATGTGTATTATAATAAACGCTGACGGAAGTTCAGAGCATAGAAAATATGGCATATTTGTTCAAGCGATCTTTTGAAGACCCTGCCGAAGTAACGAGGTTGGCACGAAGAACGCCTGGTGCACAAGAGCTTCAAGGGCGCATTACGAGTGCAATGCTCAAAAACAAACACATGCAGAATCTCTTGCTGTACCATAATCATTGTTTTCGAGCTACGCGCTTTAATGCAAGTCAAGTCAAAGCTACACATTAAATGGTCTCGAATGCAGTGTACGCTTGACGTTTAATGCGTCTGTGATGCGCATCGCCGGTGCATTAGTATACAACCTTATCAGCTTTGGAATTACGCAAGCGAAATAATATTCGCTGTACGTTGAGACTGTTTATGCTTCGTAGGAGCTTGTTTTGTGTACAAGATATGGCGAATTGATGTTTATATCTATAAGATGTTATCAAGTTGCTATTGAATATATTCGGACGAGTACGTTCGAAACTTAAAAACACCAAGTAAGAACGGCCAAATTAGGAACTACAATGCTAACTTATATATTTTATGCACACGCACGTTATATCGTAATAACAAGATAAATATTTAAATTAAAAATTTAAAAGTATAACGCCACGTGTAATCGCGATCGAGAATTAGTTGATAAATAAATTGAATTCACAACAATGTTTGATAATGCTATATTCCAAGCGGTTTACAATCTTGTTTCAATTTGAAGGAGCTTTTGGGGTAATGAAATAAAAATTAATTGACAATTAATTTGAAAAATTGGGCAACGTTCGGATCATATTTCGTATCACCTTTTTAAAGGTCTAAAAGTCAAGCGAATATTACATTCTGACGACGTACAGTTCACAATGTGTACTGTTTCATATTATATGTTTGTCTTTGCGTATGAAATAACGACTTTTCAATTTGCTCGACAATAATGTTATTCGCTTAACGTTTATTATCAACCTTTATTATCAATTAATCGAATCGTAAAGATCAGAAGGGGAAGAAATTTTTATTTGATTAGTACTGAGATCAATACTTCTTCAAATGAAATTCATAACAGACTAAAATAATATTCATCGCTTCAAATGTAATCTGATTAGAAATGAATATAAAAGATTGGATATAATTCCACATAGAGATTTTTAATTATTTTTTATGTAAGTATATATATACGAATACTGTTTTGAAAGAAGCGACTACATGTACGTGTATATCTATACGCAAAGGGTAGTGAATTTTTTCGTTCTCATGTCACGTGCCCATTCATAGCTATATCGTGGTCGCGTGTGCCGACTCTTTCTAGACTAGCGTGAAAGTCGCCGCTCATCGCGCAGTTGCTTCGCAGCATGCGGCGGCGAGTCGGCGATATATACGCGTTCATAAAGGGCCGATTTTACAAGGAGCACATGCAAATTGCGCGGCTCGTAAATTTATTCTGCTCGGTGCGAGCCAACTTACGGCGTGAATTAAAGTAGAAAATGGCTCTTCGTCATCCGTGGCACGATAACGTGTGCCATTTCAAGAAATAAATGAAGTAATTGAAACGCGTCCTGAGTGGCAGAGAGTTCGACTTTCGACGCACGAGCCAAATGCCTGACAATGAGAGGCGAGACGACGGCATAAATCTCTATTTTAAAATAATTTAATTTTCCGCCAGTGTATTAACATTTCGTATTAGATTATACTCTGACTTTATTCAGAGTATATCTAATTCAATAGTACTTTACGTCACAATTTTTATTCCGATAATAAAAGACTAAAATTAACATTTCCTATTTGTACAATTTATGAGCAACAAAGCTCAGTCATTGTTGACTTTGCTCAACTGATTTATAAAAGTTCTTTTTATTTTTCAAATACAGAACGCGTAATAAATCTACGCATTATAGATAAAATATCTTTTCTCATTGCCAGTCGATATAAACTAAAAATAAATTTTCATTTCCAGGCTTTTCAATTGACTGTTATAAGTCTCAGCTCTCAAGATAACGGAAAATGTATTACCACGGTAATCTTACAATTTCACGACAGTAAAACTTACTTATTAAATTGCTTTATATGCAACTGAGAGTAATCTCATAGCCCAGGCGTTCTCATTTGAACTAACCTTAGTGCAAAATAATTCCGACTGGCTCTTTTCCTCTCTTTCTCTCTCAATACCATCAGACACTTCCGCGTTACCACTTGGCCCCTGCTAATTGCACGCTAACTATTTCGTCAGTATACCGCTCGAATTTCCTCGTTTTCGCTCTAAGACGAACACCGCGACGAATTCATTACGTTGTCTATATACTTTGTTGAAGGAATATAATGTACACTTGCTTGTCGTTTGTCATTTTCTATTGCGTCGAGAGGAGCAACTTGATGCCAAGCGTGCTCGTTTCAATTAGGTCGTCCGCGTTGTGTGAGCAACAATCTCCTTTTTCTAGATTTTTTTTTAATAAAAAAAGTTTCTTTATTTTCTCTCCTTTTTTGTCACATACAACGTTTCTCCGTAGAGATTTTTTAAGAGAAAACATTTACAAAGATGCGAGAAACATATTACTTGAAAAAGTTGACATTTGTTCTCAGTTGAAGATCGTTTATAGAAAGTAAATACTGTTGATACTTGTAACTTGAATATTTTACCGTAAAATTTTGAATACAAGGATATTTTTAATTCGAGTATCCTTCAACTAGATTTTTCTCGCGTTACACATACTTTACACTCGAAAATTTTTTCCAGTAGACATCCTATTTATTACATAAATAATTTTGTGCACAAATCATCTCATTAAATAAAAATCAGTATCAAAGACACATTAAGCACCGAATAGATCTGCCGTATATATCCGTTACAACAGAAAGAAAAGATCGTAACAATACTGTTGATAAAACAAAACGAAACGAAAAAAATAGAGCTTCACTTTAGATAGTCGAAAGAGGGCATCGGACGTGTGCCTTTTATCCGAACGATGCAGGATTTGGAAAAAAGCTTCTGCGACACAAAAGTGCTGGCGATCAATCAACGCGGTGAAAAAAATCGTGAATTAGGTCAGCGGACGCTCGCGCGCAACAAAACGATATATATGCGTACAAGTGTGAGTGTATACACGCACATACACATTTAAACGTGTTCTAGGGTGGAAAATGACTTGAGGCCAAGTTAATCATCCTGTATGGAGTAACCATAGGCAAGTAGGTGCGCAAACGGACTAGCAGCGCGCGTGTACGCTCGAGAGTTGGATTAAATATAACTTGGATGCGCGCTGCTAAGAAATTCATAAGGATCGTGCTGATCATCATCGTCAGCGCCATCATTATCGGATGGCGGAAGCTCAGTGATAATAGTAACAGCAGAACGCGCAGCGTGCGCCGTGCTCTCGCACTAACAATAAGCCATCTGATGTCCGGATGTCTTTAGTGTGGCAGGCGTACGGTAATCCCTCTGACTGGCAATATCCCCATCGACAAGCGCGCGGCTTGTACGCGTCCTGCTCGTTCTATCCATTCCCTCTACCTATCCTACTCCTCTCCACCACCTAGCCCCTTAATCTTGAGTAGCGTGGGGTCAAGATACGACGGGTTAAGTGAAACGCTTACGCGCTCTCGAGAAGCGAGAATTACCCTGTTCAAATGTCGTGATACCTTCAATCAAAATGTTATATCGATTTCTCAAATAAATTACACTTTAACATTTCTACATTGCAGTTGTCGAACGAATAATTATGCATCTGTATTTCCAAAACAAAAAATAGTTCTGACGCGCTCAGTGGTACAAATTTTTGTTAGGTCAGACGTATAACATAAAATTTCTCTCGAATAAGCAGATAATTCATTTTCCTATAAATTTAATTGCCACTTTATACCAAGCTTCTTTACTGATAAATTGTTGGAATAGTTTGAAATAATTTAATATTCGTTAAATTAATAGATAATCAGAAAAATTTAATAGATATGCGTTACGGTTGTTAGACGTACGAGTGAACATGACATAGTGAAAATTCCTGTGTTTCGTCTGGAAACAATAAATATTTCAATTAACATGCCCGCGAAATAGAACTATGTTGCAAATAGCACGAGATATTTTCGATAGTATTTGGCTGCCTTCAATAATAATTTTCGCATCGATAACTCCCCCCAACAATTTCCAATGCAGAATTTTAAGACTTTGATCAGCATCCAAGATAATTGAAAAATTGGGAGAAAAAGGCTGATGTTTTTGTAAGCGATCGAAA